TAGTGTGTTTTTACAGTAATACAAATCAAATCCAAGGCCTGCTGGAGAGAAGGCCTCTAACACTGATATCCTGAGTTTGGCCTGTTAGCATTGTCCTCAGTCCAATTCCAGTTAAAAAGAAAAAAGAGATAAAAAGAAAAAGAAAGGGGAAAAAGGCTATGTTTGTCATCGTATCCTTCTACAAGGAGACTTGCTGTTTTAAGGAAAAAAAACCTGTAATAAGTAAATATTAATCCTTTTGAATATGACTGTAATGTTCATATTAGAATAGTTAGGAGAATTTTAGAATTATATTGTTGCATGACAGTAGTTTTGAAAAAAACTTGAAATGCCTCATTTACTGTGAAAATTGGGATCATATATTAAATTTTACTGTTTTATGGACAAAGAGCATGGTAAGTTTTTAGGTGTTCATTTCATGTAACCTTCTTGGAATGCAAAATTATGTAGAATTTTTTAAAGCACTGTGGTAAATATTTGCTTCAGACTTGCATGAGCATGTCAGGATTAGTTGCCAGCTGTATTACTGTAAATCTAGAAATTGTTACAAAGGTTGTTTCTTAAATGGCCTCAGATTCAGTACAGAATCTTCAGGAAATAAGTAATAATGGGTTCATCACCTTTTTCTTTGCAGGACAGTGGTCTTTGTGTCTGTAAGAAGGTTAGAGGAGCTCGAATTCAAGACTTTCACATCAGGCCCTCTAAAACTGAGCTGTGGTCTCAGAGACGTATTTGTTCCTTGGTAAACTCTTAGCATTTGTAACCCAGATATTCCTTCATGTGGCCAAAACCCCTGTTTAAGTATATTTAAAGAAGTTACTGATCAGATAAACACATTTTTAAAAAATAGAAAAATGAAAATTATCTGTAGTAAGACAGTTGTGTACCTTGATAATTTTGCTTTGTGGAATATGATGTTTTTCCTCTTAGGATACTTTCTCTATTTGAAGGACTACAATAGCTACTTCAAAGATGTTCTCCAGAGAATTTTTGATTTAATAAGTTCTGCCCAGTCTGTTTATTGAAAACGACTTCACAACCGTCAAGTCCAGTGGACGGACGCTCTTTGGTTTCACTGTTCTTTGATCTTTCCTTGACGCTGGGCGCTACCAACCACTTCTCTGCCAGTGGACATTATCTCTGCCCTCTTCCTGTGGCTTCTGCGTCATCACTGAGGGTGGGGACTCCACTGGCTCCTGGCGTTCCTCAAATATGCGATGATTCTATGTCTGTCTTCCTCCTCTTCCCGAAAGCAACAAGGGCTTCTCTTTGTCTTGCAAGGGCAGCAAACTCAGACGCTAACCAGGCCTAGTAATATAAATACAGGAAGAGATTTAGTTTTATAAGGAAGCACAGAAAGTGAATAAGGATTTACAAAACCAGATAGGACATGGCTCACCTCAAGCGGTTCTACTTGGCCACAGCCTCAGTTGATGTGGAGGCCGGGACTCCTGCCCCCCCTCCCCAAATACCAGCACAGCCCTTCTCTGTGCTTGCCCTGAAGGAGCTGGGGAAAAGGCATACAATCAAACAAAGCACCCCTCTCCTGGAGTTCACATCCATTTTGGTGATGAGCCATCCTGGGGTTACAGTAAAGCCAATGATATTTCTTCTTGCCAGATCTTCACATTTAAACAAAAGGCAAATCCAGATTTTTTTGTGAAGTTCTACTTTCTAATGTTCTAATAAACTTAAAATTTTAAAGAAACTTGGGACCTTCCAAAACTGTGCCCACTTCTGCATACAAGGTTGGCCTGGAAGGTACGATCCTTGTATCTTAGTCTTCAAAGCCAAAGCCCTCTCACCTGCACACACTTTTCCACCTGGGTCTCCGTCTGCTTCTTTGTTCCCCCTCCTCTATTCGTGACTGACCATGCCTGATCTCTTTGTTCTTGCATTACATCCTATGTATTTCACTTCTTGCTAGAAGGCATTTCCATGTCCCTCCCTTTTTGCCCCTGGTCGGTGAGTATTCATTGACAAATGTCAAGCCCTCAGTAACTCGACCCTAATCTCTCAGTGTAAAGTTACTCCACCAGTGTTCCACAGTCCTGCACAGTGTAGTTCCAGCAGAGGTCTTGCGGATGTATTTTATGGACCCTGAGGCCAGAGAGGCTATACTTTCATCTTTGTTTGCTGAGACTCCAGCACAGCAGGTAATGCCAAGTCAGTGCTTCGTGAACATCTACAGAATGAGTGGTGAAAACCCACAAAAGACGGGTTTCGCTCCCAAGCACAGAACAAACGGGTATTCTGTGAACAGATGCTTTGTCTTCCATGTAGATAATCATGAGATGACAACTGCCATTTGATGGCAATGAAAATTACAAACATTTGTACCAGGTATGTCTGAAACATCTACTTAAGTCAGCTCTACTCAACTGTCTGCACTCCTGCCCCAACCTTTCCCAGTGTCTCACACACACACACACACACACACACACATCTCTCTCTCTCTCTCTCTCTCTCTCTCTCTCTCTCTCTCTCTCTCTCTCTCTTTCACACACACACACACACACACACACACACACACACACAATATCTCTCTCTCTCTCTCTCTCTCTCTCTCTCTCTTACTTTCCTTGTCTCTCTCTCTCTCTCCAGGGAAGGGGATACTGGCTGGTTTATGTTGTATGGTGGAGCATGGACCCTCTCTATCCTTTTAATTTAGGCTTTTTCACTCATTGCTTTCACATTCCCTAGTTATTTTTAAAATGTAGGTATCTAAGGGGTAGGAGGGACACAAGCTAGAGATGGAGAAAACTTCACTGATTGCAACTCCATGTCCACAGTGTTTCAAGCACTCCACATTTGCTGTTTCACCTTCGAATATCTCTGTAAGTTAGATGTCCTCGCCTTCAAGTAATGCATGTGGAGAATGAGGCCGAACTCTCTGAACATGTAGAGTTCTGGATGATTCCTTAGGAGGATGATTTATAGTTAGTTTGTGACATACTTTGCCCTATTTCATCACCTTTTTACTTGTTTGAATTCGATACCACACAAAATATATTATTTTGCTTATCTGGTATACACTAGAATTTAACTTTTTAAAAAAATCTAGTAATTGTTTTTAAACATGCCAGACTTCCCTTTTTAAAATTTATTTTAAAAATAAAAGAAGGAAAACGTATTAACAAACAGACATCCATTTACAAAATAGCATAAGAACAATACAAGCAATACCGAATTATAGACAAAGTGGTAGGAAATTCACAATGGTTGTTGTATTACGTATTGATATCTTCAAAGTAGTTTCTCAGGACCATACTCATAAGTGAAATAAACCAGACCTCCATGTGTAAGTGATGTATTGTCTCATTAGTGTAAGAACATGAAAGAGTGAATAAAAATTAGGAGGTATGATAGACACTGTGAAATGAAAGGAAACTGCTCAAAAGTAAAGAGCAACTGGGATGAGGGAAAAGAGAAAAAAAGAAGGGGAAATTATGTATGTGTGTATATACAGGATAGCTAACATAGTTGTACTACTGACTTCTATCGCTTTACTGAAAGGAACAGCTAATAATTAATTAATTGATTAGACTTCTCTTTTAACAAAAGTTTGTCAGTGTACTCTTTATAAATTATTCATATTTCTTATAAGCCATCATGTATTTATAGGTGCAAAATAAATATAATGGCCTGGACACTATATGTATCTCAAATAATAAGAACTAATTTATGTTGCAATAATGTATTTCAGGACATAAATGCAGATGAATAGTTTTACTAGAAAATTAAACAGAGGTGGTCAAATACTTGTTTCTCTTAAGCAGACACTGTGAATGTGATAGCTGCAGATATAGACTAATACGGATGTGTTTAATTGCCTGGGTTATGCTGCCTATGAGGTAACCGGTGTTTCTGATGGTGACCTGCTCCACAGGAGTGAGTAACTCTTGGAAAAGTTCCAAACAAAATAGAGAATCTTCTCTTCATTTACTTGATAGCTGCAGTTCTACTTCTGGAAATATTAGCTTAAATTTAGACAGTGCAAAACATATGTGTCTAGCCACGAGATAACATGAAGTTCCAGACCCACATAAGTGATGGGAAGACTGTTACCTGAATGAAATGTCTGGTGAGGTATTTGAGAGGTCGGGGGCATGCAACCTCTACTTATGTTCAAGACTTTGCGATTTTGAGTATTTCTGGACCTTGTCTCCTAATGTCAGAAGTTTCACTCCTAATCCTGGAGCCACCCTAAAATGTTTCTAGAAATTTCTAAAACATCCTGTTTGCTGACAGTACTATTCCATAAATACTTCTGATCCTGATCTTCCAAATGAAGGTTAGCGTTTGTTTAAAACAAATATTTATTTCTTATGTTTGTAATACTATGCGTAGTACGAAAGTGTTCAATGGAAATTTGTAACTGTTCATTCTTTTCCTTAAGGGTTTAACTGTCTAAGGAGATGAGAGACTAATAGGTAGATTGATTGATTGATCGATATGAAAAGTCCTATTTACAAAAAGAAAAGAAATGTGTTGGGGAGCCGAGAACTGTGAGACCGCTCAGGGCAGTGGTGTTCGAAGGGGGAGGTGAAGGACTTGTACACACTGAGGTGACTCCAGAACGTCTTGCGTCACAGACAAGGCAGGAAGCCAAGGAGGGAAAGTGCCTCCAAGGGAAGAGTTACTGCCTGAAGGTAACGGCAGTGACAGCGGGAAGCAAGGTTGGAGCTCACATCACCTGTGAGAAGCCAGGCTGAGTAACTCATGAATGTCAGTACTCAAGTTCAAAGGTGGCTCTTCATTGCATTTGGAATGTGTGAGCAGCAAAACAAGAGGATTTTGCACGGACGGCTCATTTCTTCAACTGGCATCTCATTTTCTAGTGTGTCTTTTTTTTTGTTTTTTTGGACGATGTCATTACATTTATAGAGATAAATTTTGGATGAACTTATTGCTGGGGTGTGCAGATTCCACTACAGGCTGGAAATTTGATTACCCAAACAAGTGACCCTGATGTTCTGTCTTCCCCTTGTCCGTTCCAGGTATGATTTTGTAGAAGTTGAGGAGCCCAGCGATGGAAGTGTACTGGGACGCTGGTGTGGTTCTGCTGCTGCGCCAGGAAAACAGATTTCTAAAGGAAATCAAATCAGGATACGATTTGTGTCTGATGAGTATTTTCCTTCAGAGCCAGGGTTCTGCATCCACTACAACATTGTCGTGCCAGTAAGTATCACCCTGAGACCCCACTGTGGAATTGTGTTTGCCGCTGGCTTACCTGATTTCCCCCTCTTCAACACGGGAAGCAGAAAACCAAAGACTTCCCCAGCCTCAGTTTTCCGCCCTCGTAAGTTTTACTGTATTTATCTAAAAAGCAAAGATTTTTACCATACATTACTGGCAATGTTAAATACCTTATCAGCATAATAAATATGTGTTTTTACATTTACAAAGTTATTCCCATTACCCTCAGCTCATTGACTTGTATTTCAGCACTGGTGGGAAGCTATAAAGGGGTTATCTCCTGAAAAAATTAGAAAAATTTGTGTTATGTGTTAATATCTTATTATTTAGGAATGACATAAAATTCAACCCCACAATGTCTGACTTAATTTGTAGTGTAGATCATATTAATAATAAAACACTGTTTTATTAAGCATTAATAATATTTTTAGTATTCTAGTGTATTTGTGACCCTAATATACTTTTTTGCATTTTAGTAAATGTTATTCTTTATTTAAAGATTTAATTTTTGAAAGTTACACAGTATTCTAGGGGTTTCAAGCGAATGCGTAGTTTTGGGACTGAAGATTTTGCAGAGCGAGGAAGGCACCACTGCTTGAGACTTTTACTAAAATATGTGTATTTCCTTAAAAATCTGCACTTATATGTGATTTTTAAATTTTTTCCCCATTAAAACGGCATCATTTTTTTCTGAACCTACCCAAACCTTATTTTTACGTATGTCATGTATAAAAATAAACCTGACATTTTTGTTTTCATCTTTGTTTGCCAGACAAGCGTGAACTTACTATTCTTTTCAAGGAAATATATTGTCAATATATTTAAATGCAATTATCTCGATTTTCCTATGTATCTTAAAGTTTATCCTGCTTGAATAACATTCATGGTCTTTGTGAAGTTTTAAAATTTTCAATAGAACTTAACAAATATTTCTGTTTTATTTAATTATAATTGTATTCCTAAATGTTTACCTATCACAGCTTACCTTCAACGGCACAACATATTCTTATATTTATGTATTATTTGTTATATCTCTTTATTTTATTACAACAAAAATATTGAAAACTCGTGCTTTTTATACCACATCCCACTTATGGCCATAATCTGGAAATTCTCACAAAATATATGTTGATATCATCTAGTATACTTTTGAAAGTTAATCAGTAATACCACATTTTAAAAGACTAAAAAATGAGTATCTCGAACAGTTTTGACAGATGATCTAGTCAATTAGCTGTACTTACTATGACTTTAGTAGGTGTACTCTTACTTTTATTAGCTGTACTTACTATGGACTTTTATATCCAGTGTATTCTTACTGGGTGTAAAAGTGTTACACACACACCAGCAACTGCTAAAGCAAATTAAAAGTATGGAGTCAATAATTAACTTTATTATATTTGCATTGTTAATCACAGTTTCCTGTTTTGATTACCCCCACGTCAATTGGAATATTTTTAGGCAACACGGTAGAGAGGGGTTGCAAATAATAGAGCATACAATTTAAAAGACACACTAAACTGCGAACATAAAGTTTGAAAATGGTCATTTGTTCATTTAGTAATAGTAGAATCTTTCATTGCATATGGTTGGTAACGAAGGAGATCTCTCTAAAATGTTGTAAATTCAGGATGTGAGTCTTGATCAGGTTTCTTATGTAGATTATTAATGATATAAATATCACTATTCCATTTTGAAATAATTTTTCTATTGTAGATTCTCTACCATTTCCTTTGTTATATTCTGTTTCCTTAACTTAATATTTTAAAAATTTAAATGGAATAAAATTTAATAATTGAGTAAAATTATTTTAAATTATGAAAATATTAAATTATTATAACTTTAGTCTTGAATTATTTTTAAAATTTAAATTTAATGAAATTCATAATTTAAAACTGTTATAAGCAGCCAAAGACATACATTCTTAAAAATACTACTGATAAGTAATACTTTGATCCCCTGACTGTGCTAGAATAAAGCTACTAAGAACATAACCTATTTTCTTAATATCCTCATTCACAGGATTTATAATTTAATTTAATTAACTGAATGTGGCCTTGGAAGCCATGGCTGTATTTCTACAAAGTGATATGATCTACACTTTTGGTATGAGTTTTAGTTTACAAATTTTATTATAAAATAGAACAGGTTTTATTCATCCCAGCCCTGTCATAAAACTAAACTTAAAGAGATTATTTGTATCATAAATGAACTATTCTCTTCATGTTATATTAAATTAAGTGTGTAGAAATAATCAACTATCCTACTACAGGATAAAACCTGAAATCTAAAATGTGTATATGTCTCCACTAAAGGTTGTCTTTTTATAACGTTATGGCCACATGCTTTATCTGGTTATATAATATGAAGAGTTGTATGCATTAAATGAAATAGGTAAAGACAAAACCACAAAACATTTATAGCTCCTAGCTCAGAGAGTAGGTTATGGTCTGTCAATAGATACTTGGAATACCAAGTTTATCATACACCTTCATCACCCCAGCCTCATACCACACAGGTCACCAGCACTTGTATATCCATAAATGTGTATCAGTTTCACAGGCTTTGTGATAAGATAAGGGACCAGAAAAGATCTTCTGAACGCACCCCACACTCGTGACTAAGAAGGGCCTTACCGCTCCATTGAGAGATTCATTATTATCTATTTGCAGACATTTACGGTGCCTGAGACCAGATGCTGCAGGTGAAAGGCCTCAGGTCACACGCTTGTCATTGGTCCCATCATAAAATTGGATTCAGTACCTTCTGAATGGTTACTGAGCGAGTCTAACACGTTGTAAATGTGGGCTCAGGTGGACTGCTGTCAGTTCTGGAGACTGTTGAACCGTGCTGCACTGGCCTCTAATCTGACCAGGCCTAGGCTGTGGATTCGAGATTAAATGGCAAAGGAGATGTTACGATAAATTGGATCTTCTTTAGGACACTACACCTGAGACATTGGGAGGAATAAATAAGACAAGGATGAAGCGAGGGTCCTGTGCTGCTTACTCTGAGTGATTTGCAGAGTTTGTTCTGAAGTGCGCTCTTCGGAAAAGTTATTCATATACTTATGACTTTTATAGCCTCGTAAGCTTCTGTTCTTCTGTATTTAAGTATACTCTGACAACTGACCCGCAATTTTGCTGATTCTTTGCCTTGATCCCATGCACCTTCGCTATTCCGTACTGAACAACTGCGGGTGGAGGGCTGGCGTTGATGAGTGAGAATTTGACAAGTGGTTATGCTTTTAAGCCTTGCAGAATGTTTTGAATTATCATCGTATATTGCTAACTGACATCCTTCCCTCCACACATTCCCTAACACTTACCAGCAGGGCAGCGATCCATCAATCTTATCTGCGAGTCAGATAAATGAAAGCTGAAAGGAAGAAAGTGCGCCTCTGGGAGAGCAGACTTGAAAGTTCTGCGGCATTTGCTTAGGGGCAGGTGCCCTCCATGCCCCATCAGCTCCCACACTTTTTTTGTGCTGTACTTTTTCTTTCTGTGGTGGCTGAGCTTCCATATTAGCACACCTGGTTCCTTCCCTAGAGGCTGTGGTCTCCTGCTTGCACACCCACCGCTGCAGAGTAGGCCCTTACGTGCCGGGGACCACACAATTGCTTTTATTTTTTGTTAACTTTGTAATGATAGTAATAATAATAAAAAAACTGCAAACCCTTGTCAGACTTAACTTCCTTTTTGAAGGTGTGCCACGGGTGGTGAGGGCAATGCTAGACACGCTGCATCTGCCCAGTAAGATTTTATGGAAATCCAATCATTTTACAGAATTTCATAGAAATCCATTTTCCCTTGGATTTCTCTAAAACCAAGGTAGCACTGAACTAAGTTTTCATAGCTGGCGTGTTGTTACCTTTGTTACTGCCATAGCCCAGTTGGGATTCTTGAGCAGGAAAACTGTAAACATACAGCAGTGACACCAAGTATTCTCCTGCTCCTGAAAACGTGAGCTGTGTAATCAAAGATACATGTTTGCTTGCCAAAAACCTGCCCTGGTTTCTCTTTTTCTTCTTTTCCTCTCTTCTTCCCTTCCTTCTTTCCCTCCCTCCCTTCCGTTCTTCCTTCTTCCTTTCTTCCTTCTTCTTCCTTCCTTCCAAGGGAGGAGGTTTCTGGAACACTAGAGAAACACCCACCACCCAGAACATAGTACAGACCTTTTGTAACCATTCGTGTGTATATGCGTATAAGCAGTTTTACCTGTTTTAATAAAGAAACGGTGAAAGTTTGGCATCTCCTCCTACACAGAGAATTTTAACTCATGTCACAATTTTCTAGAACAAATTACATAGAATGTGTATTTTTAGAATTGCTTATGTTTTACAAGTGAAAGGATAACTACAGCCTTCTTTGAGAGTAGGAATGGGTATGGAGTTCTGGCCCACCATTAATTTTCAGTGGCTCTGATCACCGTGTATCTTAAAGGTAAATCTTTAATCCATTAGTTAGTAGTTTTCAGAAACAATTTTTGTTATTATTTTTTATTTTTGCTCGTTGTTACTAAAAGTGCAGTGTGCTCTTGTAAGGTGATTGGCCCGTTTTTCTGGGGTAACAGGTGCCAAGACGCAGTGCAGAGCAGGAGGGGTGACATCGTGCTGGACGCGCTGCTGCTGACCTAGTTCTGTGAAGGTTTTACATGTTCTATAAACACATATACTTCTCCTCATAGTGTTATGAGCTCAGTATCTTGTTTTGGATTCCCTGGTATTTCAGAATAAGTCACAAATAAAATTTCTGTCTCCATTTACTCTACCTTAATACCTAAGTTGATACTATAGGCAAAGACATTGACCCGAAGTTACAGGTAGTTGTAATTTTTTTTAAAGTACAAGATTTATGAAATAAATTTAATTTTTTAGCATTTAGTGCTATTTTAGAGAATTATAGAACTATTATTCTCCAACCATGCTCCATTAATAAATAATAGAAAATAACTGTGCAAATTGATCCTCAACGATGTATATTCAG